AATTCAGTGTATAATTATTTAAATTTGGACATCTTATAATTATGTTTTTTTTTCCGTCCTTTTAATTCATTAACTAAATCAACTCGATTTGCTAACGGCATTTCATACGTGTTCGGTGATCGTTTGGAACGTAATGATTCCAAAAATGCAGATGGATTTCAATTCCGATATACCGAGCTCTATGAATTAATATTTAAAGTTTCGTGATTAATAGGATCGGATTCGATAGACTGTATAAGTAGTTTGTGATGTTCTAAAAAAATTATAAATATAATACATTTAATATACATTATAACATAAAATTACACACAATTGGTCATTAATACATAGCGGTTCACGGTGGTTTTACCGCCGAACTCTAGCCAATTTTTACCAATTGTTACACGTTGTTTGTTGGTGAATGACCACATATCAACCTACTAAACCTTGTTAGAATATTACGTTGTTTTCACTTGGATTTGGGACTTATGGTTAATTTCTCCAAAAGAAAAGTCTCTGGGGTGGGTATAGCTGCTTTTGAAGTTGAACATTTTCCTTGAATTTTAAGTTGTCAAGACACCACTTTGCCTTTCACATACCTTGGCCTGCCTGTTAGGGTGAACATGTTACTTATAAAACATTGTAAACCAATTATTGATAGATTTCAATCTCGACTTTCTTCTTGGAAAGCAAGAACTTTATCCTTTGGAGGGCGTATCTCACTCATACACTCGATACTTGGGAGTCTTCCAATATTCTACTTTTCGCTCTTCAAAGCACCCCTTAAGATTATTGTTAAATTATAGAAGATCAAGAGGCGATATTTGTGGGGGTGGAGATTCAAATTCAAAAATTTGCTGGATTAGTTGGATAAAGTACTCAATCCAAAAAAAGAAAAGAATGGTGGACTTGGTGCCATTGGTTTAGGGGATTCAAATCTCGCACTACTTGGTAAATGGTTATGGATATTGAAGATTGATCTGGGTAAAACTAATATTATCTCTTCATAATTTGGATTGTGTTTGGAAATTCTTCCATGTGCGACTCAAAGTCACTGGTGTTCGGAAAAATATTGTGAGTGTTTTCAAGGATATTGCCATTTGCAACATCAAGATTGTTGAATTACGTAAAAAATAACTGGGTGGAGATAACACAACTTCATTATGGTTCATTATGGTTTTAAGACTGGTCTGGAAGTGGCATTTTAAAATATTTTTATTGAGTTATTTAAACTATAATCGAGAAATCAGTCTATGGTCATTGATAGATACCAAAGAGTTGGTGCTTCAGTAGATTGGATATAGGGATGGAAAATAGACTCTACCATGAGTATGGAGAAAATTGAATTAATATGTTGTAATCTAACTGTTTCGAATAACATGTGGAGTTGTTGGCAGATAATTCGGGTACAATCCTAGTGAGATCCCTACGTCACCTATGGGAAACGTTTTATTTCGTTGAGTTTCCTTATAAGCACTTTTGGAACAATTGGGTGCCGATCAAAATCAAATTTTTTGGCTGGCTTGCGTTTCTTAATCGATTGCCGTCTAAAACCGCACTTTCAAATCGTTGGGTCATTCTACCCTCCACAATCTATGCTTTTTGTGGTGCTTCAGAAGAGTCAGAAACACATTAACTTCTTCCATATGTTTAGGTAAAAGAATTTTGGGATCTATTGGAAAGGGGTATAGATGGAGTCTCACTCATTAAAGAGAGTTGTAAATTCGTAGAACATGAAAAAATTATAAATATCTTCCCATAACCAACTATGAGTTCCATTTGATTGTAAGTCATAACCTGTTGAAATGCAAAATCCACATACCTACAAACTCGTCAATCAACAATTATATGTTCAATTTGACTACAAATAATTCTATATCTTGAGTATGATATTGTCCAGTAGGAAAAGACAGGAAGAAATGGGATTTGGACCCATGCATTATGCAATCTTCTTATATGTCGATTTAGCGAACCAATGCCTTAAGTTATATTCTCTCTGTGAATTTAGTTGTGCTTGAACCTCGTGCAAGCTTTCTTTTTTACCGAATAGATTTGGAGAGGCGATGTACTGTGAGACTCGTGCTCCAACAAGACCCGAGCCTAAATTAGAAAGCTGGTAGGGTTTGGGGTCAGTTGTGGGATACATTAGATATGATTTGAAATGGTGAGCGAACAACAATTTGAGAGAATCTTTGGAATTGAAAAGAAGGGGCTAACCTGACTTTCACTTTCATAAAAAGAGAAAATGGACTTGCACTTTAAGACATGGAATTGCGATGAGCCAACAATTAGAATCTCGCCTAAGCACTATTTCTTTACGGTCACTATCTTCACACTACTGATTCGAGATATTAAATCGGGCTGCTCTTTACTTAGAATTGCCAAGAAATCTATTGCCCACCCCTTAACCGCCTCTTGCGATTGGATTTTATAACAAAAAGGTTGTGCAAAGGCCAAATCTCTTTGGGCGATATTATAGCATAACACATTTCCTCATGATTAGGGTGATGTGATTGTTCGATCGGTTTTTCTTATGGAGGGATCTCTTAGTCAGGATAATACTTGGCTGCGATGGAAGAGATTAAACTTTGGAATAAAAAGTAATTCCATTACCTTTTTAAATTTTATAGAGGTGGATGGAGAAAGTGGACAAAAGGTGTGAACTAAACATATCTAGAGTTACTTCTCTTGAACATCTCTTATCAGTCTCACATTGCTTCTATTAATCCCCATTACATACAAAAATCACACATACCATCCTCTTAAGTACACTTCGGTTCATATGTAAGGCAAGAAATGACCTTACTTTCAATAATAAGGCATCATCATCGGTTAAAGTGGTTGAGAATATAAATCAAATGTGTTAATTTGGGTTAAAAACAGGGGTACAGAGCTTCTCCTAAATTGGAACAATTTATGCATTCTCCCTTTTACGGTTCACTAAGGTGGTGGGGATGGTTATCAAAGTGTTATTTGTTTTATTTTGCGTCATGTTTATCTACAACATATGTGGGTTTGGTGTGCATATCGATTCATGGGTAGTTCCAATATAGGATTTTTGTTGCAGTTTAAACATTCATTTGTGTGTATGTGTGTTTGTTGGATATTTGGAGTGGTTTCGTAACGTGTAGGGGTAAGGGTAAGGGTTCATCTTTGGTTTTGGTGTGTGTCTTTTTTTATATTTCCTTCTTGCAGGTATAATACCTTTATCTCAAAAGTTTGGGTTTGGGTGGGTACTTTGTAGCTCTCATTTTTGGTTGTTGTAGTGATCTTGTCACACCCTCGGCCAAAGGAGGAAACGCCGAGCAGTGCAACGTAGGGATATAAAAAAAAATACAAAGATTCACAGTGTTATCATTTCTTCATATCAAGATTTCCATATATTTTTTTTCAATTTATCACTTTTCACCTCTTCAATATTTTCCAAAAATTCTTCAAAATCTACAGGAAAAAAAATGATTAATGTAAGAACACACACATGTATATATCATGTAAGATTCATATGTTATTATATAATGTGATATTCACATTTGATTGTATCTTTTAAGATTTAACTGTGAAATTCACATAAAAATTTTAAAAAATAATTAATGAAGAACACTTACACAAAATGCATGTGTGCATATAGATGTAATTCATATGTGATTCGCTTGTGATTTACATGTGAATCACATGTAATTCACTTGTGATTTAGATGTGAATCATATGTAATTGATATGTGATTCACTTGTGATTTACATGTGATTAATATGTGAATTACATGTGAATCATATATAACACATATATGATTTGTATGTGAATCACATGTAATTCATATGTGATTTACATGTGAATCACATGTAATTCATATGTGAATTATGTGAATCAAATCTAATTCATATAAGAATTACATTTGATTCACATGTGAATAACATGTGATTAATAATACACAATATCATAACGATTCACATTACTAATAACATGTGATTAGTAATGTGAATAACTATAGATTCATAACGATTTTTTTAAAATAAAAAGGGAAATGACTTTTTATTACCTGTTTTGTTTTGTAGCCTGATGTTACAGCTCTAGGGTTAAATATCCTTGCAGCATGGTCACCTGCAATTGGCAAAATGAAATTTAATGAATACTTCATCAAATCACATGTAATTCATTTGTGATTTACATCTGAATCACATGTAATTGATATGTGATTCACTTGTGATTTACATGTGAATTACATGTGAATCACATATAACACATATATGATTTATATGTGAATCACATGTAATTCATATGTGATTTACATGTGAATCAGATGTAATTCATATGTGAATTACATGTGATTCATATATGAATAACATGTGATTAACAATACACAAAACCATAACTATTCACATTACTAATAACATGTGATTAGTAATGTGAATAACTGTAGATTCATAACGATTTTTTTTAAATAAAAGGGGAAATGATTTTTTTATTACCTGTTTTGTTTTGTAGCCTAATGTTACAGCTCCAGGATTAAATATCCTTGCAACATGGTCACCTGCAATTAGAAAAATGAAATTTAACGGATGCTTCATCAAATCTTTGGCAATAATGCTTCATTAACGAAGAACACTTACACAAAATGCATGTGTGCATATAGACGTAATTCATATGTGATTCACTTATGATTTACATGTGAATTCACATGTAATTCACTTGTGATTTACATGTGAATCACATATAATTGATATGTGATTCACTTGTGATTTACATGTAAATCACATATAACACATATGTGATTTACATGTGAATCACATGTAATTCATATGTGATTTACATGTAAATTACATGTGAATCACATGTAAATTACATGTGATTCATATGTGAATAACATATGAATAACATGTGATTAATAATACACAATACCATAATGATTCACATTACTAATAACATGTGATTAGTAATGTGAATAATTGTAAACTTATAACGATTTTTTTTTAAATAAAAGGGGAAATGATTTTTTATTACCTGTTTTGTTTTGTAGCCTGATGTTACAGCTCCAGGGTTAAATATCCTTGCAGCATGGTCACCTGTAATTGGAAAAATGAAATTTAACATCTTTTTCACACCTTCTTGTTGGGGAAAATTTGTATTTTTTGTCTCATCCGAGTCAACAAGCAATAATCTACAATTTTTCCACTTGTAAAAATAAAAAACTTTACCATTTTATCCACGTATGAGGGGTAGAAATTAGCACTCGATGGTTTCTTCATGGGAAAGGCAACCTTGTATTCAATTCCATTCCAACCTGGAACCGACTTTGTTGATTCCGAAAGTAATCTAATTGCAGAGTCTGCAGTCGTCAACAATGCTTCATTTTCATCAAGGCAAGACCTACAAAACCAAATAACCTTAATTTACACAAATACCAAAGATATGATGAGTGGTCTTATAAGGTATTTGCAGAACAGGGTCTTACCATGGGCTTTTGTTTACTGAATAATAACTCCATTTCAATTTGTCAAAATGAGACTTATAAGCATTCCCTTTTAGCCATTCTCTTAGAGATGGATTGCAGAACAAAACCTGCTGGTGGAAAATATCATCAATCATTCTTGCAGCATGAATGAGTAACACGAACGCTTCCTTGTCCTCCTTGGTCAAACCGGTCAGTTGTGGAAAAAGAATAAAGATTCATATTAAAAAAATAATTCATATTGTAGTAAAGTTGATGCTAAAGTGAGAATACAATTATGAAACGTATGAAGTAAGTGAGATAGGAGCATAATGATTAAGCTTCTTTTGAAGATCCAAACTCTGTGCTTCCACATTGCAATGGTACCTATTCATAATTATGTCAAAAAGTTGACCATATTTCCCCTCTATACTGTACGGAACATACATAGGATCTTCTTTAGCAAGGGCCTGCTTATACTCCTCAATGGAGATATACTTAACAACAAAAACTTCATATTCCTGAAAGAAAAAGAACAAGCACATGTTTAGATTTCAAATTTTCAATAACAACTTTATAAAAGTTTGGTATGTATTCTCAAAATAAAAACTGATTGAATTATACATCACCGAAAGAGTAAAAGCCTCCAAGGGAATTGGGGATACTATTGTAACGAGATAAACATCATCAAATTCATTATTAATGAAATTATCATTATTTGTGACACTGCAATTACAAATTGACAATAATAGCAAGTCATGGAATGGAAATCATAACATTTAATCGGTGTAGCTTAACGAAAAACCTGTTAATAAGAAAGTAAAGTCTACCTCTGTTGCAGGAAAACAAAAAGTAATTCAAAGGCAACATTTGGGAGTGTCAGACCAAGCTCTTCTTGAAGCTCTCTTCTAGAAACAATAAACATATAACAATGAATTAGTTACTTATATCCATGATTAGATCCAAAATTTGCTTCCATGGGAGATCAATAATTTACCTAACAGTGATAAGGGATGAATCCCCAACAGATATATGACCAGCACTAGAGATATCCCATAATTCAGGGCATGAATCCTTGCAATCAGCTTGTCATTGTAGAAGAAGTTCTGGTGTACTTTCAGCAAAAATCCACACATAAACAGCTAGGTGATGATCCCCATCTCTGTGAACAACTCCTCTGTACAAGGTAGATTAAACAGTAAGTGTGACTTAGAGGGATGGCTGGGTGATTTCAAATTAATCTCAACATCTAATTATTTTGACCTTAGCTAGTCAACAATCAGAATCATAATCAGTTTTCCAAACACTCTAGCATTGATATTGAACTTCAAATCACAATAATAAGTTTAGAGCTTTGACACGTATCCAAACACCCCATGGGAGTCCTAGTATGATTAGGAAATCCCTAGAAACATATATTAAAGAACCCTTTCAGATGTAGTCCAACTGGAAGATGAAAACGGCTATGAAATCAAACAACTGTAGAAAAGAAATATGTAATCTGACCTGGTTTTGGATACGACACGGTGTTTGCATACGACGGTTTCTACAACTACAAAGCAAACACCAGTAGCATTAGTGATTGTAGAACATGAAGTGGCTTAGAACATGAAATAGAATAGCATATGTGTGTATCAAGATTAGATTTAGGTTACAATCTCAATGGCCATGAACAACTTTTGAAGATATGCTTCAAATTAAGAAGCACTATATGTGGTCATCAAATGATAATGAAAAATTCAACCTCCCAACATAATTAGGAACTAGATTATACTTTTGAACACCATTTAGTGATAGAATCAATATCAGAAGTATTCAATTTTACCACCAAAGTCAAAATTAGATCCATATCAGATGCATAAACACTTAAAATAATTAGACATTGTTGTGTAGATGATGCAAAAAAACAGATTGCAAACAATCGATCGATTAGTGGAGATCTAATAGAGAATAGAGACGACTTACTTTGGTATCGAGCATAACTGCACAGAGAATACCGGCATTATCCATGGCATTTTGGAGATTATTAAGCATTTCCTGATGATACTCATAAGATCCATGCGAGGAATCGATTCCTATTGTTAGATCAACGGCGA